CCCGGTGCATCCCGTTCCAGTCAAGATTCACAACACCGCCCTCGTCTCATATTAGACGTTCCTCGTTTCGACGGAACAGATACACATGGTTGGATCTTCAAGATCTCACAATTCTTTACTTATCACCAGACACCTGATGAGGAACGCGTCACCATTGCTTCCTTTTATCTCGACGGTCTGACCTTGGCATGGTCCTAGTGGATGTATCAGAATCGTCAGATCGCGTCGTGGGCCCAATTTTTGGAGAAATTAGAAATTCGTTTCGCTCCAACTGCGTTTGACGATCCTCGCGGTAACCTTTTTAAGCTTACCCAATCTTCTTCTGTGACAACATATCTCACTGAATTTGAAGCTTTCACAAATCGCCTCGAAGGTTTATCTGAAGTTAATCTTCTTAGTTGTTTCATTTTTGGGTTAAAGATCGATGTTCATCGTGAGGTCTTGGCTCAACAACCAACAACCATCTTGCAGGCTGCTGGTCTTGCTCGTTTACAAGAGGATAAGTTGAAAGACATTGCGCTTTCTTCGCATCCTCGACCGTCGCCACCATGGCAATCTGCTTTGGGGCCTCGTCCTTCACCCAAACCCTATTCCGATTCCTCTTCCATGGTGAAACCCTCCCAAGGCCTTCTTCCTACGCCACCAGCAAAGCCCCATTTTCGGCATCTCTCCGGGGCAGAACTCGATGAACGACGTCAGAAGGGTTTGTGCTTCAATTGTGATCAACCATGGTCCAAACAACACAAATGTGGTGGTCGTGTGTTTTTAATGGTTGCTACTGATGAGGATTTTTCTTCTACGCCCGGTGAATTAGAGTCAGTAGCGGTAGAATTGATTGACGACGTTGTTGCATCGGAGGAACTCTCTGCTCATGCAACACAGTTAAGTTTACATGCTCTTTCTGGGGACCAAGCTGCTGACACATTTTGCATCTTGGGTCGAATCTCCTCTAACCCGGTTGGTGTTTTGGTGGATGGGGGCAGTACCCATAATTTTGTCAAGGATACTATTGCTTCTGCTTTGGGCCTCCCCTTGGACCCAATTGATCCATTCAGAGTTTTAGTTGGCAGTGGACAAGAATTAGTGTGCTCCCATATTTGTTATGAGGTGTCAATAGTTTTACAAGGTCATTCATTCACTATGGATCTCTTTGTCTTAGGCTTACATGGTGCGGATGTTGTGTTAGGGGCCAAATGGTTGCGAGGGTTAGGCCCAGTTTTAATGAATTACAATCTCTTTACTATGACTTTTTTCCATAACAATTCAAGTGTTGAGTTGAAGGGAGATTCACCAACTTGTCCTATAGGCTTTCACCAATTCCAACGGATCACTAGAATAGACCCTGAGGCCCAATTATTTTCCCTCCATGTCAACGGTACACATGACACCCAATCTAATTTTTCTTCCCAACCAAATACACTAAACCTTAACCCTGAGTTTACCTCCCTCCTCACCAAATACTCCCACCTTTTCTTTGAACCCTCCACACTCCCCCCACCTAGACCAACTGACCACAAAATTCCCTTCCTACCCCAATCTACACCGGTCAATGTTCGACCTTACCGATACCCCTACTCACAGAAGCTTGAGATAGAATCTCAATTAGCCAAATTATTGCAAACTGGGTGGATACGACCTAGCACAAGTCCTTTTTCTTCCCCTATTCTTCTCCTAAAAAAAAGGATGGATCCTGGCGTATGTGCGTAGACTACCGCACTTTGAATGCTATTACTGTCCCTGATCGGTTCCCCTTGCCTACCATCGATGAATTATTGGACGAATTAGGAAAGGCTAGGGTGTTTTCAAAACTAGATCTAACTTCTGGCTTTCATCATATACGATTATCCCCTGCAGACATTTCGAAAACAACTTTTTGCACACATGATGGGCACTACGAATATCGTGTTATACCGTTTGGCTTATGCAACGCTCCGACAACTTTTTAAGCTACTATGAATGATATTTTTCGTGATCTACTTCGCAAGTCCGCTATTGTTTTCTTCGATGATATCCTGGTTTTCAACACCACTTTGGACACCCATCTTGGTCATTTGTCACAGGTATTTGATATCTTAGATAAGCATCAGTTTCATTTAAAACCAACGAAATGTTCTTTTTGCCAAAGTCATATTGCTTATTTGGGTCATATTGTGGCTAAGGGGACCGTGGCACCCGACCCTTTGAAGTTACAAGGAGTATTTGATTGGCCAACTCCTAAATCCGTGAAGAGCTTGCGTGGTTTTCTGGGTCTGTCCGGGTTTTATCGGAGATTTGTTCACGGTTATGCTACTTTGGCTCATCCTTTAACTTGCTTATTGAAAAAGAATGCTTTTGAGTGGTCCACCTTGGCTCAACAAGCTTTTGACAAGTTGAAGGTTGCTTTAGCTACGACACCAGTTCTTGCCTTGCCGGATTTTTCTCTGTCGTTCATTGTGCAGACTGATGCCTCGGGGCATGCTATGGACGCTGTTTTATTGCAGAATGATCATCCTATTGTGTATTTCAGCAAGCTATTTTGTCATCGTCTTTCCCAGGCTTCCACTTACATACGTGAGCTTCATGCCATCACTTGCGCTGTGAAGCGTTGGCGTCAATACTTACTGGGAAATTATTTTGTGATTCAAACTGACCATCGTAGCTTGAAGGAATTGCTGACTCAAGTGATTCAAACTCCGGAGCAACAATTTTATTTGTCTAAATTATTGGGTTACCATTATGATATTCAATACAAGCCTGGAAAGACCAATACGGTGGCTGATGCATTGTCTCGCAGTTGTGAGCCTCCTATTGCTGAGTTGCATGTACTCTCCACACCTCAACTTCTGTTTATTGATGATTTACACAAAGATTTGAACTCGGATGCCGATTATCAAGCACGTTGCCAACAAGTTGAATCTGATCCTTCACTTGCTCCGGGTTATTCTGTGTTGAATGGTTTATTGCTTCACAAAGGGCGCATTTGGCTTCCTTCTACATCTCGTTTCAAGATGTTATTGCTCAAGGAATATCATGAAACTCCTATAGGAGGCCAGACCGGTGTGGTAAAAACCCTCAAACGCCCCTCCGCAAATTTCTGTTGGCCTTCTATGCGCCAAGACATCAAGCAATTTATACGAGAATGTGCTACCTGTCAGCAGACTAAGTACCTCACCAGCAAGCCTGGGGGATTGCTCCAGCCACTCCCCATTCCAGTGCACATTTGGGAGGACATTTCGTTAGATTTTGTCACAGGGTTGTCCACTTCTAATGGGTTCACTGTTCTACTTGTCGTGGTGGATCACTTCTCTAAATATGTGCATTTGGGAGCCCTGCCTACTCATTTCACAATTTATAAAATGGTTGATCTTTTCATTAACATTGTCTGCAAATTGCATGGTCTACCTCAAAGCATTGTCTCCGATAGAGATCCGATTTTTGTTAGCAAATTTTGGTCCATATTGTTCAAGTTCAGTGGTACTTTGCTTCGCATGAGCTCATCTTACCATCCTCAAACAGATGGACAAACGGAGGTCACTAATCACACTATTGAACAGTATTTGAGGTCCTTTGTTCATCATAAACCTTCTCTTTGGCATCATTATCTCTCTTGGGCAGAGTATCATTACAATACATCATTTCATTCGTCGGCTGGGATGACACCTTACCAGGTAGTTTATGGTAAGCCTCCTCCTTTTATCCCATCGTATGTTACTGGCACATCTGAATTAGCTGCATCTCATGAATTGTTGAGTACACGAGAGGCGGTATTGGAATTACTCAAGAAGAATTTGGCTAAGGCTCAGGCCCGAATGAAATCCATTGCTGACACCAAACGTCGAAAGGTGAATTTTGAGGTCAATTCATGGGTTTATGTCAAGCTGCAGCCATATCGCCAAATCTCTCTCTCTGGTATTAAGTATAATAAGTTGCACAAGAGGTATTATGGTCCGTTTCGCGTGTTGGCTCGCGTTGGACCCGTCACTTATAAACTAGAACTCCCTTCACATTCAAAGATTCATGATGTTTTCCATTATTCACTTTTGAAGCCACACGTGGGTCCTCTTCCTACTGAGAGTGGACATCTTCCTGCTGATTCAATGGACAATTATCCCTTGCTCTCTCCTTTAACAATTCTGGATTCCAGAATTGTTACAGTTGATGTCTGTCCCTAGCAACAAGTCTTGGTGCAGTGGACTGGTCTTGCACCAGAGGAGGCATCATGAGAGGCATGGCAGACTATGCGAAAAGTTTACAACCTTGAGGACAATGTTGAATTTGAAGGAGTGGGTATTGATACAACTGCGGACTCGGGAGGTGGATTAGCAACTTGCAGCCCACTATTCCTAATATTGATAGGCCCATTCGTACTAAGAAGCTTCCTTCAAAATATCAAGATCACATACTTTATTAAACGAGTATTTGTTTTATTCCTAGTTATTTCTATTTCTTGTTTCTGCTTGTTTCTAGAAGGCTATGACTCAGCTAAAGTTTGTTAATAGTACCTTGTTGTGGTGTACGCTTGGTGTACGTTTGTTAGGAGGGCGCTGCTGTGATATCTCTCTTTAAATATTCTGTTATTCAAAACTATATAAGATGTATTTACTCATTGAACTAAGAAAAAGGAAAATCATTACTGAAAATTATCTTTCTTCCTCTCTGTTCAGTGCTTTAGGAGGTTTGGCTCGGTCTTTGAAACCGAGCACTATCACAACCATCACTGCAAGTGTAAAATCTATCATCAATTCCTCTAATGTTGTTGTTGTTGATACTCGATTTCATTGCTCCGTTTCTTTTATTTCAATTTATCACGAACTGTTTTTGATGGACCTCTCTCATCATCAATCCAATTTATTTCTCAGTTTTTCATCTTCGCCGCCTCGCCGTCCACCGATTCCCGACGACTCCATTTCGCTTCATCTCATCTTAGAGGCAATTAAGCTATTCCGGTTATTGTCACTGAGACGGGATAGCCTAGCACCGGGAATGAACTCGACGCGAATCCAGGATATGCTGAGATTTATATGAGGGGATTGGTGAAGCATTTGAAGTCCGGTGCCGGAACGCTGTTGCTGAGAGACGGAGTGAAAGGGGTTTACATTTACGAGCTTTTTAATAAGGAAGGAGCGGGAAGAAATTGGGGGCTTTTGTATCCGAATGGTTCAACGAAGTATGATGTTGATTTCTCCGAAGCTTCACGTTCGAGTTTGGTGAATTGGATTAACGTGGCGTTTTTGTTGATCGTCGTCATTGAGGTTTGTTTCATGGTTATTGTTGATTAGTTTTAATTTTCGGATTAATGCTGTTTTAGTTTTGTAATTAGAATGGTATATGAAGCCTAATTAAAAAGAAATATTGGTGTTCATATAGTTCTGTAGAGATATAGTATAGAGAACTTTGTTGAATTGTAGTTGAGCCCATATCTTAATGAAGCTCCAATGCAGATTTTTGTCCCTGATTGAGTCTCTTTTACAGAAATTTGAATTATGTGAACCGCACTTTATAATATAAAATCAAATTTACAAATGATAGATATGAACAGAGCAAGATGCATAGAATTTCTTTATTTACGAAAGTACGAAAAAAATGGTAGTCGAACCAAAAACTCCGTAATCATATAGGATGAAACAAATATTCAGCATCTATGCTTTCATTTGATGCTCAAACATGTCACATATAGGGTCTGGTAGCAAAAACTTTCGCATTCCTGCATCTTCGTCTGCAACACTTAAAACATCCACATGACTGCTTAAGATACTTATTATTCGGAAGCCCTTTGTTTGTATCCCATTTCTTTGCCTGGAAATAGACTCGTTCGTTTTGGTAGAATTTTCACCTTCTCTGCAAATACAGACCACCATTGGTGGCTTAAGATGTGAATCTCATATAATGTGTGTGTTTGGTCCAAAGTGTTGCAATTTAAACATGTCAATGACAATATAAACATATCAATGTCACACATTTGTGGGTGAGTTAAAGTTTAGCAAAATCACTATGGTGTACCTAGTTTTGCTGAAACTTTAAGCTGTAGTTTTTGCCAAATTTACAATAGCTCATTATGATTTTTTTTTGACAATTTTAGTGTCAGTCCAAATATCCACTATATAATCAAATACTATAAAATAAATAAATAAATTATTTTCGCTACTCAATTAGTTTTCTTGATGTAATTAAAAAAAAATTGTATCTCTAATTATTAGTTATCTTCATTTAACTTTTATAATGTTTAATAGAAGGGTACTTTAAGAACAGTTTACTGCACAAATTTTAAGAACTAAACTGACAATATTTTCTTAAACTAGAGCAAACAAACTTTAGATATCTTAAAAACGACATTTGTGATTTTTGTTGAACAATTATCTAGGATACATGGGTGAAACTTAATACCTCATGACTATTGAAGACCACCCTCTAAATCTAGCAGAGATAAGATGATTGATGGTGACATTTTGGTCTTTTACTGGCTCTCTTGATAACAAAATCATAGGCCAACCACTAGCTTGAAGGTTCATGTATAATCTTAACAGAGCCATGCGCTTTAAATTTTTTGCCTCTAAGATACAATTGCTAATGCTGTTATAATGAAATCCTTGTTTCAAAAACAGTGTATGATAAGTGCTTATGTTATAAGCGTTTAATTAAGCTGTTAATCCAAATAGAGCCTAATAACAACTTTTATGAATGCTAAATACTTGTTTCTAATGTTAACTTGTTATTCTGTCAGTGTGTCTGCTTGGTAGATGAATTGGCTAATCGAACAATGCGGCCATGTCTCTCAAAATGCTGTCAAAGTACAGGTATTGTTTTATGTTAAATATCATTTGTGGATGCTTTGTGGTTAGGATTTAACTTTTGTCAAGTTTTCTTTTTTGATTTATACTTTTTCTTCTTTACTCGGCAGGCTCAAGAATTGACGAAAGAGGACTTCAAAGGCTCCAAGGTCACTTCTTTATTCAAGCAGCCATTGCTTTGGCCAAAAAGGAAGGTCTTCTTGTTTTCTTGGACTTGGCCAGTTTTAAGGTATTTTATTTCCGCTACTACTAAGAACTTCCCCTCCCCATAAGTTCTTTTTAAAAGATTGGGTATAAAAGTTTGATGATAAGAAAATTCATATTCTTATTTTACTTTTCTCGCACCTGAGTTTGCGAAGTTTATAAACTTAAGTTTTCATTTGTAATATTTTCACTCAACAAGGAAAAGGATTCTAAGAAAGAGTTACTATATCAGTATAATCACTAATTATCTAGTCCACTCAAACAATTACTGAACATGCTTGATTTATTGTTGTCATTTACCTAACAAGATCATATGCATCTCTATAAAAATCTTACCTATGAATATATGATAGTGCAATAGGTGCCTCCTACCAATATAAATCCAAGTATTTAATACCAATATGCAAATTTCATTTTTAAAAAGTAATTTATGTAAGCATTTCATTTCTCACTCCCTTCGATATTTTTGTTTTGCCAAGATGGTTAGGAATTTTAAATACCGCTTCTGAAGTTATTGGAATTGTAAACATAGACCTCTGATTTACTTTGCGTTTTAATGTGAATTTTCAAAGAATAATTTTATATCGTTATTTACGTATTGTAAGTATTTGACGACCCAACAAAATTAACACAAGATGATTTGTATAATTTGCGACTCCGTAGGGCAACATGTTCCTTATAAAATTTAATCTTTATCTGTTGAGTTATATAGAATTCTCTCTCTCTCTCTCTCTCTCTCTCTCTCTCTCTATATATATATATATATATATATATATATATATATATATATATATATATATATATATATATATAATTTGAGTTTATTGACTTTGGTGTTGTCTGCTGATGGTAATTGGTGTTATTATTTATTGTCATCAAATGTGATTTTGGTGTTCTTTACTGAAGGTACGACTCATCTTCTTGTGGATTGCATGTTGGTAATTCAAGTGTGAGAAATGACTTATAAATGGTTGGATATTTTGGTATGTTTTTACTGGCTTTGTTGTTGTACTAGTCCACTGTGTAAACATACTTATAATTTGTACACTTGTGTGTATCCTAGATTAGTACTTTTTTAAATCAATTGTTCATTTTGAAAAATATGTGCATGCTAGTTGGAAAAATATGAAAAATTAGATACCAAATAGCGACTTAAATATGGTCTGTGTGATGTTGGAAAAATATAAAACATTAGGTACAAAAAAAAATTACAGGGATTCCACCTTGATTTCGCTAAAAAATAGTCTAATTTTTTAAGAAAGATAGCATGCATATTACATCGGTCACGCCTTGCAATCGATGTAAAAACCTATATTTTACATCGGGCCAGAAAGGCAACCGATGTAACAACCTACATTTTACATCGGACTAGAAAGGCGACCAATGTTAAATGTGCATTTATTTAAAAAAAAATATAGTTACATCCATATTTCACATTAGACGTAACAGTCAACCGATGTAGTAGGTGTATTTTTCACATTGAGTTATTGCCCGATGTAAAATGTCTTTGATTTACTACATCGCTTGGCTTTACGTTAGACCCAGATCCGATGTAAAATGTGTTTTTCGGCTGATGTAAAAAGTCTTTCTTGCACTAGTGGCTCCCAAACTTATTAGGCCAGGGTAAAAAAAACTCAAATAACAAGTCATGGTTATAATTCAAGAAAAAGTATGAGCATCCATACAAAAATGAACTTAACACCAACATAGATTCTAACAAAGGCTCAAATAGGTAAGCAAATTCTCACTCATTCACAAGGTAGATTGACTATTTGTTCAAGTGGTTATGCTCAAAATCAAACAAAATGTCTTGATCATTTTAGTGTCATCATACAAATTACACAAATACAAGATTAAACATAATAAAACCGAGTTAAACAAGAATGTTGGTCTTCTGCATATAATAAACAATGAAAAGCTCCTCACAAAAAGAGTTTTGTTTTAAAGTGATTTAAAACTGAACAAATATGACAAAAGAATGAATGACATGAAAATTGTACAAATGAAAAGTTTCCTAATCTTGTTATGTTCTAGAAAGCAATAAATAAGTACCTTGCAAACAATATAAATACCATACATTCGCAAGTTGAAACGATCAAACTTTAACAATCATAAAATGCATCCTTAAGTTAATAAAAAACAAACTTGAGAGTAAACACAAACATTATTCTAACAACTTAACAAAATTGAACTAAAAATAACTAAACACAAAGACCAAAATTGGTGAAAGTGGATGGAAAATGAGAGGTTTTTCCACACAAAACAGGGCGCGCTAAGCACCCTCTGCACACGTTAAGCGCGAACAAGCATGCTTAGATTTTCAAGTTCTTTCTCACATGTGGTCCAGCCATTCTCACTTTATATTAACTATAATACTAAACATAAAATTGTACAAACTCAAAAACTATTGAGCTACCTCCCAACAAGCGCTTATTTCACATTGTTAGCTCGGAGCATTTATTCATGCACATGCTTCTCCATGTTGCTTGGTTCATTGACTAATACTAAATAAACCTGCACAACACTTGAGCAAACATAAACTAAAAACAAAAATATGAACCAACACATAAACATGATAGAAAACACATATATACAATCACTTATGAAAAACAACTATAAACAAGTATATACAAAACTTAAGAACATAGAAACTATTGCAATGCAATTCAATATCAAAACCAATCTCTGCCAACGACGCCATTTTGTTGAAGCGGTAAAGTAGCAAGCAAAAATTATTTTCAGAAGAATTTCCTCCAGGATTTGTATTGTCTCCACATGGATCAGTGCGAAGGAAATAATTCCGTTCGACAATCTCCACGTCTCTAAGCTTGAGTTTGAATGGTTTTAAAGAGTAAGATGCAAAAGAAAAAAATAAAACAAGAAAATAAATACATTCTTAAGACATGAGAAAATTTGTCAGGAGTTGTATTTCGTTCTACCCATCATGTACTAAAAAATCTATGGACCAAATACACGTAACCTAAATCACTCGTCAAAATCCCCACGTATCACTCACAACAAGAGATTATGTCTAACGCAAACATTGAGAGATCATCCGCATTCTCTCAGAGGTGATGTCTCACGTAACTAAACAACACAGAGCATTAAGACCCGACACCCATGTGAATATTAAATTGTTTCCTAAAGCCAATAGACACTCATCTTAGATCGAGTTCGAAAAGTATATGTCTATAACGATCCAAACCCATTGAGATATATAGTTAATCAAAGATGACTTCGATTAAGAGTTGTAAAAGAGATTTTATACAAAGATCCATGAATATACATACAATCAAGATAAAGTTACATACAAAACCCCAATAAATAGAGGGTACAAAGAGAAGAGAGAAAAAGAACACAAGTCTCATGGTTTGTCAATTCCAATAGAAGTGGATTCGACTCCGGATCGTCAAGATGCACACTCTAATGTTGTTTCTAAGCTACTCGACTCACATGATGTCTTTGATGAAGTTGGGGTTAAAAGTTCACAACAACATCACCTAAAAAATACTGAAAAGTGACTTAAATAGGGACTGAAATGAAGTGAACCACACTATAAGAACGTTTAGCACCATCAACAAAATCACAATTCTTATTTTTTTCATAACTTTCGAACCGTAATTCCGATTGACGCATGGTCGAAAGCTTTGGAAAGCTTATTCAATGCTCTATACAACAATGACAAAATATCCTTGCTTGAATACCTACAAAAATGAGATAAACTAAAATTATAAATAATGAAATTTATTACAGCCGCGCTAAGCACACTAAGATCGCACCACTTAAAAAACCCTTAAGCCGCCTTAAAGTGCGCTAAGCACAGTCCTGCTGAAAACAAAAATCCTCCAATTGCTGCCATCTAGTTCCCAGCGTGCTAAAAATTGCGCTAAGCGCGAATGACAGTATTTTGACTCCAAAATTCTGCATTTGAAGCATCCATCTTAGCTCAAACGGGTCCATATTTCAACCATGCATTATTACCTATAAAAACAGATGAAAAACTGTCAAACTCAAAAATATGTATACAAAAATGCATATTACACACTATAATGTAAAATATACAAAATATACACAAAATGGAGGATTATTAATGGAAAACCAATGAATCAAGCCAATAAGTGCCAATTATTCACACTCAAAATAAGTACAATTTAGCCCTTATCAACTCTCCCAAACTTAAACTTCTTTGTCCTCAAACAACTAAAAGAATCAAAAGTAACCACCAAAGCAGTCACGACTCAACAAGTTTCGAGAAAACAAAAACAAAAATTATTTGTTGAAGCGGTAAAGCGGCAAGCAAAAATCATTTTTGTAAAAATTCCCTCTGAGATTTATATCGTCTCCACAGGGATCAGTGCGAGGGAAAGAATTTCGTTCGACAATCTCCACGTCTCTAAGCTTGGGTTTGAATGATTTTAAAGAGTAAGATGCAAAAGAAAAACATAAAATAAGAAAATAAATACATTCTTAAGACATGAGAAAACTTGTCAGGAGTTGTATTTCGTTCTACCCATCATGTACTAAAAAATCTATGGATCAAATGCACGTAACCTAAATCACTCGTCAAAATCCCCACATATCACTCACAACAAGAGGTTATGTCTAATCCAAACGTTGAAAGATCAACCGCATTCTCTCGGAGGCGATGTCTCACGCAACTAAACAACACTGAGCATTAAGATCTGACACACATGTAAATATTAAACCACTTCCCATAGCCAATAGACGCTATTCTTAGGTCGAGTTCGAAAAGTATATGTCTATGACGATCCAAACTCATTGAGATAAATAGTAAATCAAAGATGACATCGATTAAGAGTTGTAAAAGAGATTTTATACAAAGACCTATAAATATACATACAATCAAGATAAACTTACATACAAAACCCCAAAAAATAGAGAGTACAAAGAAAAGAGAGAAGAAGAGCACAAATCTTATGGTTTGTCAACTTCGATTGAAGTGTATTCGACTCCGGATCGTCAAGATGCACACTCTAATGTTGTTTCTAAGCTACTCTACTCACAAAATGTGTTTGATTAAGTTGGGGT